GACATTCAAACAGTGAGACTAAAAACAGTTCTGTTCAAATATACAACAAAAATGTAGTAATATGTTTATCAATCATATACACTTCAAGATACATGGAGTTATATCTTTTAGAGCACTCTCTTTTCCTCTCCTTTTACAATTGCAATTACACATTTTGGGTTTTATTACTCCTACTTTTCTTACTACTTTTTATACTAGAGATACAATGTGATATTTATAAATATGATTCTTTTTTATTTCACTAATGAGGATAGCCTCAAGTTGTCTCCATTTGCCTATGAAGGCTTCAAGATTATCCTCCTTTACAGCTGAGTAATATTCCATTGTACTAAAAAACCACATTTTTTAATCTACTCTGCAGTAGACTGGCATCTTGGTTGTTTCCAAGATTTAGTTTTCACAAATTATGCTGTGATGAACATGGGTGCACATATATCACTGTGACATGATCTTTTCAGCTTTTCTGGGAAAATACCCAGGAGTGGAATAGTTTGGTTGAAATGAACTACTAATCCTAGTCTTCTGAGAATTACCCATACTGATTTCCATAGTGGCTGAACCAGACTACACTGCCACCAACACTGAAGAAGTGTTTCTTTTTCTTCACAGCCTCTCCAACATTTTTTTTTCAGTTGATTTCTTGATGACAGCCATTTTTTCTGAAGTGAGATATAATCTCAATGCTGTTTCAATTTGCATTTCTCAAGTGACGAGTGTTGGTGAACATTTCCTCATGTATTTATTTGCCATTGGTATATATTCATCTGAGAAATGTGTGTTCATCTCAGATGCCCATTTTTGGATAGGGCCTTTGAATTTGGGGGAGCTTGATGTTTTTCAGTTCTTTGTATGTTCTGGATATGAATCCTTTGTTTGAGGAGTTGCTGGCTATATTTCTTTTCATTTATATGGGTTTTCTTTTCAGTCTGTTGGTGATTTCTTTTGCAGTGCAGAAACTCTTCAATAATATGAGATCCCAGATGTTGATTCTTTGAAGTGTTTCTGTGCAGTTGGCATGGTATTAATGAATTCTCTGCCTACTCCTATGTCTCTAAGACTCCTACCTACCTTGTCTTCCAGTATATTTAGTGTATCTGTTTAAATATTTAGATCTTTGATCCACTTAGAGTTTAGTTTTATGCATGGTGATAGACACAGATCTAGTTTCAGTATTCAGCATATGGAGAGCCAATTTTTCCAACACCATTTATTAAAGAGTCTATTCTTCTTCCAGGGAACATCTTTATCCTGTTTGTCAATAATCAGATGGCAGAGTGTATTTGTAGTTATGTTTGCATCTTCTAATCTGTTCCATTGATTCTTAGGTCTATTTTGGGAGGAGCAAAGATGGTGGATAGATAACAACTGGCTACAGAGGCTGCCTGAGAAATTCAACTTAGAATTCCACATAATACAAAATGGGTAACCCCGAACAAAGGGAGATGAATTCTCTCGTCCAAAAAGAAATTAAGCAGGTGACTTGTTGACCATGTGGGGTGCCACTGCAACTTGCCAAGGTCCTGCCATGACTTGCTGAGCCATCAAAGGTCCCACTGCTTCGAGTCACTGGAGGTGCAGTTACATAGAGTTTGGGGGTTGGTGAGCTGAACAGAAACTGAGTTGGCAGTTGGCCTGCATCACCTGTGGTGAGTGACAGGAGTGGAGCCATTCCATAGAAAGGGGAGCTCTGGCGGATGACGTTCTGGGACTCGGTAGGACTAGAAAGTAAAAGGGGCAGCAGTGACTTCAGTCAATTGTTTCCTTCCCATGAGATTGTTGAAGTGAGCTAGGCTTGGGTCATGTGACCTGGCTGAGACCCAATAGGTTATCTGAAATCAAGTCCCTACAGTGGTGCTGCACACTAACCATACTATCCCAGTGAAGCCTCAGAAGTTTGACTGATCTGGATGGGAGGTGGAGCAAAGTAATACAGTGCAGGCCACAGCAACTTGACTGATATGGAGGAGAGGGGCCAGCATATACTGTTCCTGTCTGCAACTCACCAACACAGAGCAGTGGGAAGGGTTATCTAGCCCATGTGCTTCAGAATTGTGATCAACAAAGAAAGAAACCTGGGCCTCTTGGAAGAAGCATAAAATATGGGAAGAGGGAGAAACAACAAAAAGTCCCCAGGTCCCAACCCTGAGAACACTGACCCAGAACAGGTAAATGCAAAGGATGATGAGAACAGCAAACATGCAATATCAGACACAGTGCCAGTGGATATAAAGAGATATATTCAGGACCTCATAGATGAGTTTAAAGTGAAATATTTAGCCAAATAAAGCAAGATATAAGAAGATTAATAAAAGAGATAATAAGCACCCCTCAAGCAGACATAGACAGAAGAAGGGGGGAACTCAAAGGAGAGAACCATTTGATGAAGAATATAAAATATATAGAATACATTAAGCAGATTCAAAGAGATCAACAGGAAATTATAAACTCTATGGAAAGATGCCAAATCAGCCTGAAAGAAACTAAGGATAGATTATTCAAACTGGAGGACAATTTTTCAATGTGAGAGTATGAAAGGGAAAATTTTTTAAAAGTAAGAAGGAAACAAGCAGTAACAATACAAAGGCTAAAGATGACACAAGGATCTATAACTTGAGAATAAAGAATGTGAATGAAGAAGTAGGGGTACAAACAAAGGAACTACAAAGGTTATTTACAGAAATAATTAAGTAAAACATCCCCAAAATAGGAAAAGGAAATGATGTTCTGATATATGAGGCATACAGAACTCGAGCCACCTACAACCAAAACAGAGCTACACCAAGGCATATAGTAATCAAGATCCCAGAAATTCAATATAAGAACAGAATATTAAAAGCTCTTAGAGACAAGAAACAGGTAACCTACAGAAAAAGGTCCATCAGAATAACGTCAGACTTTTCAACACAAACCCTGAAGTCAAGAAGAACCTGGAGCAAAATATTCCAAGCTCTGAAAGAAAATACCCTCCATCCTATATTGATATACTCTGTTAAATTGTCTCTAGAATGAAGAAGATAAGAATACAAAGGATGGCAAATAGAACAGCATAACAGAAATGAGGAAGAGAAAATTTTATTCAAAACTGATATGATTGACAGTATCAAGTCTGAGAGTATAGGCAACTACACTGAAAATGATAAGACTCTACAATATACATTTTGGTTTTATAACTGCCAGTTTCTGAAGTTCTACACTATATACAAAGTTGTGTTTTTATTAATATTGTTATGTACTGAAATATTCAATTATACTATGTCTGATTAAATAACCAATTCTATTGGAGATAACAAGAGACAACGCAGGAACCAGAATTCTTTGTACAACAGTCTTATATGTTTATTTCATTTCATGTGTTTATAGGAATATGTTTTGTTTTGTCTTGCTTTGTTTTGTTTCTCCCCCTATGATAGAAAGGATAGAAATACATGTTAAGACTCATGCATGTGTAGAAACTATAAACAGTTTATGAGAACTGATCTTATGACACAAAATGAAATGAACAAACACTTTGAAACAAAGGAGACACTAACATACCCTATGTTGATCCTGGAGTGTCATAATGTGAAACACAGCAATAGTATTATTCTTTGTTCAGAGTGATATTAGCCTGCTTGGTTTATTCAATCTCAACATAATTGAAGACATGGATAACTGCAGGTATGTTTAAGTGTATAGGATTGATAACCATATTTCTAAGATTTTCTTGGATAGTTGAAGAGAACTAGTATTACTGTTTGAATCTCCCCTTTATATGCTCCACTTTAGTATCTTGAATATCTATTTGTAAGAGGACAATCTGCAATCATCTAGTGATTTCTTACTGTTTATTTTTTCTTTGAAATTATGTATTATTTCTATGCATTTTCTTTTTTTAGTCTTTCTTTAAATTAAATTTAAAACAAGACACTAAAGTACCCAGTGCTCAGCAATACTATTATTTTTTGTTCAGAATGATTTTAATCTGCTTTATTCTGTTCAATGTAAACATAAATGAAGATATGGATAATTGCATTTTTGTTTAAGTATATAGAATTGACAACCATGTTACTAAGTTTTTATTGGACAGTTGAATAGAATTGTTTGCAGTCTCACTGTTTGAATTCCCAATTTATGTTTTCCATTTTTGTATCTTGAACAACTATTTGTAAAATGACAACACATAAACATTGACTAGTGATTTCTTACTGTTTGCTTTTTTTTCTGTGCATGTATGTATTATTTTACCTATTTTCAGTTTTGTTCAGTCTTTCTTTAAATAAAATTTAAAAAAATAAAACAAAAACAAAAGGGAAAGAAATATCTTTGTCAAAATTAACCTTCAAACAGATTGGCTTAGTAGAGATTTACAGATTTTCTGTTTACCAAAACAGTCTACATTCTTCTCAGAAGCACAAGGGATTTTCTTCAAAATAGATCATGTGATACCCCATAACACACACTTAAGAAATTGAAAACCAACTGGCATTACTAAATGCACAGTATCAAATCAAAGTGCAAAGTGCAATCAAACAAAAATTAAAAACCAAAGAAATTACAGAAAAAGTGCAAGCACATGGAGATTAAATAATTCTCTCTTGAATGAATAGTCATTCCAGATGAAATTAAAGAAGAACTTAGGCTCTACAATCAAAATGTGACAAAGAAAATATAGGACCTTAAGAAAGCAGTTATAACTACTAAGTTTATGTAGTAAATTCCCAGCTTAGAAAATCAGAATGAGGTCAGATGTTTAGCTTCACAGCACAAGCACCAGGTGCTGAGTTTGATATACATTACTGACCCCACCAAGAAAAGGTAACCAAAATGAACTCAAATTAAACACCAAATCCAAATCCTTCATTTTGAGGTCCTGGAAAAACAAAAATATCAAAACCGAATGCTTATATGAAGAAATAAATTATAAACATCAGAACACAAATTAATGTAATTGAGACTAGAAATCAATACAAAGAATTCCTGAACTGAAGAGTTGATTCTTTGAAATACTGAAAAAGGCAGACAACCGATAAGTCAATTTTATTTAAAAAGGAAAGCAAAGAAATACAACCATGTAATTAGATATGAAAGCAATGATATTACAAAACATTTTGCTTAATTCTGAAAGATTATTGGCAACTACCTATAATCTATCATATTTAACGCCGAAGATAGAATTGCTAGATACATATGAACTAACAAAGCTAAACAAAAAAGATATGAAAATTCTAAATTTTCAGAATCAGTCAGTTATAAAATAAAAACCTACCAAAAAAGAAAATCCCTGTTCTTAACACATTCACTGCTGAGTTCTTTAGATTCCACCAAAACATCTCAAACACTTCCAGAAAACTGAAAAAGCAAGAAGTATTTTCAAAGTCATTTCTGGAAGCAAGATGTACCCTAACTCCAAAACCAGAAAAGGTCCTAAACGAATAAAGACAATGCAGTGTAAACCCTTTAATGAACATAGATGCAACACTCTTCAGTAAGATCCTAGAAGACAGACTGCAGCAAATTATCAAAAAGATCATACATCCTGACAAAAGAAAATTCATTTCAGAGATGCAGAAATTATTTAAAATATGTAATTCCCCACATACTAGAAGTATGGAGAGAAAGCTATATATTCACTTTCATAGATGAAGGAAAAACATCTGAAAAATTCAGCATGCATTCAGGTGAAAATTTTCAAGATGATAGGAATAGAAGACCCTAATTTTAATCTTCTTTTTTTAGGCACCAGAGACCTAATTCATAACCTTGCCCTTGCCAGGCAGGTAGTTAAGCCACTGAGCTAAGTCCTTGGCCCTCTTAATTTTGTAAAAGTTATCTGTTACAAAATAATGGTTAATTTCCTAGGTAATCGTGGAAGGCTGCAAAATTTTTCTCTAGATTCAGGAACATAACAGGGGTGTTCATTATAAACTTTGTTTCATATAGTTCTCAAAATATTCGTTGTAGAAATTAGACAAGAAAAAAACACAAAAAAGAATATGGATAAAGAATGAAGAAGTGTGGGCTGGGGATTTAGCTCTGCGGCATAAACACCTGCCTTGCAAGCAGGTGGTTGAGAGTTTGAACCCCAGTACTGATAAAAAAGAACAAAGAAGTGAAATTAGTATTATTTGTAGATGTCACAACCTTCTACATAGAAGACCCAAAATGTTTACCAAAGTTGAGAGTAATCAAATTTAGTAATGTGGCATTATATAAAGCCAACACAGCAAAATTAAAAGTGTTCCTCTACACCAACAGCAAAATTATAGAGAGGAAAATTACAAAAATATACTTTTCAAAATAGTATCAAGAAACCTAGGTAGTGATATTCCACTACAATGAAGCAATCTCAATAATGCTTTGAAAAAGACTAAAGATATCAGAAAATGGAAAGGTGTTTCTTTTCTGGCACAGACAGAATCAATAGACCTAAAATCACCATCCCTCTGAAACTACTTATGTAGACTGCATGATATGCAATCTATATAATGCAATACCATTCAAACTATCAAGAACTTTATCAATAATAAAGCTAGAGAAAGTAACCCTAAAATTCACATAGAACTTGAAGACACATAGAAGAACAAAAATAATTCTGCACAGTAAGGGCATGGCTGTGGCATCACATCCCAGAACTCAAATTATACTACAAAGCTCTAGTGATCAATACAGAATGGTATTTTTTAAAAAGTGTGGATCAATCGCACAGAATGGAAGTAGAGAAACGACTCCAGACACAGTGTTACATAATCTGTGCAAAAGGAGCCAATCCTTCACTGGAGGAAAGAGACTTATGAACAAATTGTGCTGGAAAAATGGTCCACATGCTTAAGTTTGAAATTTGTCCCATAATCGTATAGACTATTACACTCAAAAATCTCAGAATTAAAAGAGAAACACTGAATTTGTGGGAAAATAAAATGCATTAAAATTAGAGACATAAGTTGTATGCAAAGATATTTTTGAATAAAGTCTCAGTTGTGCAAGAAATAATACCAAGAATTAGAAAATGGAATCATATTAAATTTAAGTCTTTTTTCATGGCAAAGGAAACCATCAATGAAGTGTACACATAATCTACAGAATGGGGAAAAATTTTTGGCCAGTTACTTGTTAGACGAAGATATAACATTTAGAATATATGAAAACAATTAAAATTAAACCTTTAAATTTAAAGACCTAATTCTAAAAATCATTTCTAAGCTGGAGAAACACCAACAGTCAATAAACACTTGGCAAACTTTTCAATATCAGTAGTGTAAGAATCTGTGCACTGCTATCTTGACACAACACACACCACTTCAAATCCCTTCCCTGTAATATGCATTTAACATTGCTTTGGTTTTAGTACTATGGATTCAGAAGGCTTAGGAACACATCTAAATCTGAGAAGTCCCAATCAATTTTTGATCCTTTTCTTAACAAATGAAACAAAACATCCTTGTATGTTTTCAAACTCTGATTTTTGAAATAGGCTGTCTCCATACTGAGCTTTCCCCCGCCCCCCTCAAAATTCCAGTGTCAGGTTCCTTAATCCTCTGCTTTGTATTCATGACTTTCTAAAAGACCTTGGAGCCTGCAAGAGCATCGTCAGTCAGGCCTGCAGCATAGAGTAGTGCTTCTTGGTTCGCTCTGAAATAAACCTGTCATGTTGAACTCTTACCTCTGTTTCTTTTAATTTTCCCCAACAACTGGCATTTCAGAAATGCAAATTACAGCAACAACAACATTCTATTTCACCCATGGAGGAATGGCTACAATCAGCAAGTCCACCAGTAGCAAAGTTAGTGAGGCTATGAAGAGAAAGAAACCACTCTTCATTGCTGGTGTGAGGGTAAACGAATACAACCACTGTAGAAATCAGAATTGAGAGTGCTTAAAAACTACAAATATGAATTACATTTTATACATGTATTCCCCCTTTAAGTATCTTGCCACAACTGTTAGAAATATTAAGCCTCAGTGATGTATGTATACCTGCTTTTGATGATCTTTCACACACAAAAAGTCTACTGCATTATATTTTATTGAAACTGAAAATGTATCTGAAATACTACAATTTTCAGGCTTCCTACTTGGCTCAAACCAACATACTGTGGGTTAAGTGACTCTTAAGATTCATAATAAAATGCATGTGATAATTAAAGTACAACTGTTAAAGGAACACTGAAATTTGTATTGTAGATTCCTTGAGCATGTTTGCAATATATGGGAAAATCAGCAAGGCAAAGATGCTATAGAACATGGCTGATCATCTCATATGACTCTGTCTTTGGCACTGGAGTTAGATGAAATTGTCTCACTTGTAAAGCTATACACCTGAAACACTACTCCCTCTTTTCTTTCTTTCCTACCATCACAAAATTTTGAAAGAAAAATAAGCAACATTTTATGACAAGGAAGATAATGGTTGCAGCACAAGCCAGAAGGAAACCAATCACATCCAGAGAGTGATACTGATACCAGGTGAGATTCTGGGCAAGAGGCCTCAGGTGTTTGGCCCCCTTGTGGCGCATGACAAACTCGATCCAGAAGACAGCTCTGTCCAGCGGCTTCATAGGTTGATCATGGTGAATAGTTGATAACCTCAGAGCATTGTGTTTATAGCTGAAGGAAAATTAAACAAGTTCAGAAATATTTAGAAATGATAGAATGGATAACGTTGGAGGTTTTGAAGCAGTTCTAAAGGTCAAAATCAGTACCATAATTTGAAGACAAAATGCAAATCCTTGCCATGGTTCGTCAAACATTTATGAGTAACCTTGCAAAGGATTAGAGTGTTAAGTAAAACCAGTATTGAAATTTCATGAGCAAGTTAGTCATGAAACTGTGAAACAGAATACCTTTCTTTAATGGCGTTATGTGTCATTTTATGTACACATTCCCCCTTTTTTATTATTTATTTATTTATTTATTTATTTATTTTTTATCAGTACCGGGGATCAAACTCATGACTGCCTGCTTCCAAGGCAGGCACTTATGCCACTGAGCTAAATCCCCAGCCCCACATATTCCCCTTTTGAATTCATAGCTAAATGGCAAGTATAAACTCTTTCAAACTCATGTTTCTTCACATTTGATTGCCATTCTTTTGTGACCATCATCAGTGACTTCTCTCATTCCATTTACAAGGCTATTTCAAGATTTTACAACTTGTTTAAAACTTGCACACATTTATCTAACAAAAATAATGAAATACTTTTTGTTACACTTCCAATTGGATATTAATGATGGCTTCAGCATTATGAACATTTGTATTTCATTACTTTTAATTCATACTCGTTTCTTGACAATCATGTAAGAAGTTATTGATTAGAACAACGAGGACATTTAAAAATGTTTGTACTCACGAAGTATTGTTAATGACTTTGTTCAGTGCATTTAGCAAATCTGTTGTTGAAATTGTTTGGAAATCCAGTGTAACAGCTGCTCCTTTAGCCTCCATGTAAGCAATGTTATCATGTTGTTCTCCAAACAAGGGAATGCCCACCATTGGGATTCCATGGTAGATTGCCTCAAAAACACCATTGGCTCCACCATGAGTTATAAAAACTCTGGTTTTTGGATGACCTAGGATTAGGTGAATGTCAGCAAGATAAGTAGTTTTAAATGTTACAAATAAAATCAGAAATACACATTATGAATCATTGAAAGAGTGCTTTTAATATATGATTTTGTATGTATGAAAATGCAGTGATGTCACTTTCATATCTCATAAAAAAAGCACATAAACTACTGGAAAGGTAAGTGAATGTTACCTGGAAGGTATCGTGAATGTCTTTAACAATGAATAAGTGCTAATTGTGAAGAGTCATGTGTGCATTAGAACTTGTTATATTAAAGTATAGTTCAATCACTAATTCTGCCATAAAGATTGTGCACATCAGCAACATACAGCAATGGAAATAAAGACTGTGACATTAAATAATGATAAAATGGGATTTGTTTTCATTAAAATGCCACATTAAATAAAACAGAAATACAACATAAGTGTAAACAAATCAAGACTTATTTTGATTGGTATTTATAAATACTTATTTCTATAGATAGAAAGGATTTGATATTTCTCAACAATGGATTGAATTAGAAATAGAGTGACAACCCTAAAATTTATTGAAACATCCTCTCTTAAGACAAATACATATCACCTGAGTACCTTTAGGTTGTTTCTAAATATATCAAAAAGCCAACTGTCACAATTTATTTTACTTCCTCTAACAATGGCAATATTTATAATGAAGTTTGGTTTTAGTTTTGATTTAGTAAAAACAAATGTTCCCAGGTTTGTTTTCTTGAGCAATCATCATCCTTACTGCCTTAGGTTTTCAGTATTTATTCTTACCAAGTAGGTCATTCTGTGGGATCCACTTGAACAACCGAGTGTTGGCTCCTAATGTATCTGGTTTCCTGCCATCAAATCTCCAAATCACCTGTTAGGGTATAGATTGCATTATACCATACTGTGAGTTTTACCACCTAGAGAACAACAATTTAAGTGCTTTCTATAGATTTTTAAAATCAAGATAAGAATATGATATTAAAACCAGCAAAAAGACTGATGTAACCAGAATACAAGTATTTTCTATATTTATGTTACATTTTAATGTTTTGAATGTATTCGTGATATTTCATCCATAGCAATTTAGATAAATCAGATATAACATGCTAAGTAACATTATTTTAAAAATTGTTATGAAATGATAATTTTTACAAGGAAGAGATAATTTTATTTGCTTTTTCAGTAATATACATATTTATGATACTCTCTTGTTCCCTTGCATAGGATTATACAAAGTATAGGCACCTTACACTAACTAAAATCTACATCATAGCTACTCAAAGACTGAACATGTATTAGATATGTGAGAAACATATTTCCCATTAAATGTTATATGGAGGTTATATGAGCAATTTCCCTAGACAGATTTCTTTCAGTTTGTCAAACACTTTCTCTTTTCTTTCATGATTCTGTGGACATTAAACTGGTGGAATAAAGTCAGAGTCCTTGGAGAGATTGTTTTGTAATATATAGGTACCACTATAAGGAAGAGGTCATCCCCAAATGTTACTAACATCTTCCTGCTTCAGCTGTGATCAGATATCTCTAAGATTAGGTTTCCTTCTTTTATAATTAACAAGACTGAGTGCAAACATGGACCCTGAATTGGCCACTCTTTCTTTTCTCTGCCCTAATGTCCCCCTTAAAGGTACAATACAGAAGTTTATTCAAAGATTTGGATGAATTAAAAGGAGATTACACAAAAATCCTAAATTATATGAGTTAAGTCTTTTTCAACAGCTGATTCCTGTTATCAAGATAGCACATTTTTCAGCAAAATTTAACACATTCCATAACATTGCTTTTGTATACATTGACCTCAAAAATCCTATAGGAAACAGAGAGCAAGTTTCTGAAATCTGATCTTTGCAAAGCTTCATGACTTCTCTACTGGATAGTGCCACCAAGACACGTTGCCAACCTTTTGTGGAATCTGTCCAAGGGCTAAAGCAATCGCATTGGCTGTTGCTTCTGACATGTCACTGACCATGGACCCCAGGGAAAACACCACAATGCCATGGTCGTCAGAGCTCTGCACGAAGTTTTCCATTTCCTGTAAAGAAAGAATTGCCCCCATCAGAAAAAAATGGTAAAAGCGAAGCAAACACTCCTGAAAACAGTGTGGTTAAAGAAAATGAAAGTGATACATGAAAGAATGAATAGCAATTAGAGAGTCTGGTAAAACTTTTGTAAGTCAAATTTCACCATCCTGAGCACTTCAAGTGAAGCTATACAAGGAGTATTGTTAATGGTATGATTGTGGAATCAATGATTCAAACAATTAGTTCTTGAATTAAATATTCGTATTTCATGTATCTTAACATTTTTTAAAAAGATAATTCTCATTTATGTTTCTTTGTATTTATTTTTTATTTGTTTGTTTATTAATTTGTTGGTACACAAGATCATACTCATGTCCTTGTGTTTGCCAGTCAGGTGGTTGTGACACTGAGCAAAACGTCAGCCCCATATTTCTATTTAATCCTATAAAAATAGTGATTTTTTTAAAATTTTCTTTTTCCCTTTGATTTCATCTCACGTTCTTATTATAGCTTATCTACAATTGTTGAAGGATACTTCAGTGTCACAGCTATAGATATATGATACAAACATACATATATTATTTAATCTGAAGATTCCTTATGGCTGATACAGTGTTAACAATGTCTCTTTGGTAAAACAATTGTGATACTGTGTTACGTACACATTTTAATTGTAGCTATTACCTAAATTTGGATGTTAAAGTTATTTGCATGTTAAAGTTTTATTTTTAGAGCTTAATTACTAGATAGATAGATTTATACATCTGGATTATTTTTCTTCACATATTTTCAAAGGAGTATCACATTGGGCCAAGGGTATAAGCATTAAGACTTGATGCACATTTGTAAATTTCTAGTTTGTGAATGTAATAACAGCTATTGTTAGCAATTTTTCATAACAGTGTTTTTCAGTGTTCTTTTTCTTTTTTCTCTGCTTTTTCTATGTTCTGCTGCTACTAACATTGTTATATTTTAACTTAGAAAATATTCAATTTTATAGATGCATTGTTTAATACATATATCAATAATGCTTCAAATATTTGACTTCTGGATTTCTTGCACTTTCTAAATGAATTGCATTTAAAATAATACTGGATTTTTTTTCATTTTTTCAGATATTGCTGTCAAAATGATGGTAAACAAAAGTAATTCCTTAAAGCCTCATAATTCTGGAGCAATAAGAATAACTTCATATAATAAGATAGATTCATATATCTTGGACGTTTAATATCAATTTAAAATACATTAGATTTTTGGTTCCTTTCATAAGGAATGCCACTCTCTACTACAGTAGAGTGCATGATCACATCAATTTGATTGAGAAATCTTAGGAACTATGAGTTGCTTAATTCACACTCTGTGAAATTTTCCCTATGTTTGCTCTGTTGGGTCATGTTGATACTATGATCATACCAGAAGAAGTAACTTTGCTCAGGTATCCTGCTGCCTTGGCATATGATATTAAATGTATGTTTACACAAAGTAATTCAGACCTTTTGTAGCCTAAGCTGTAAAATTTTTGTACATAAAGGAAGATGGTTTTGAATCTGTGTGCAACACAAGGCAATCTGAAGTTTCACAGCAATTGTTGCTGTTGGTGCATAAGCACTCCATAGTACAATGTTCTTCTTTGAAATCTAAAATACTAATAAAGAGCTTCAACGGTTCATATAATATTTCCTCATTATATCTTGTTCATATAATTGCCTGAACCTGGGAATTTACTTTTAAACAAGAATAGGAATTGCTTTTCTTTTTGTCTTTACTTGAGATTGCTATCTTAAACTGTTGGAATGTCAGATCCCATTTAATGAAATTACATGTAAAATACTTCCTAGTAGCTGAGGACACAGCAGGACAGGTCCTGTCTGGCAGTTTCAAGGTAATGAGTTTGATCTGTGGTATGAAAATAAATAAATAAATTCATAACTTCTCAAATATTATATAATTAGTATCAAAAACAAGATATCAATAACATTAGTTGACTCCCCCATTCCCATTAATGTGGACCATTGAATTAATGTCACAAAAATTTTCTTTTCAATGTTTTAAATTTTATTTCCACAAAACTAAGTATGAAGTTGCATTTTGACAATAGGAGTAGCTGTTTCATTTGGATGAATACCTGTGTCTGTATTTCCAACATGTGTTGCCTGAACTTTTTCAACTACCTTCTAAATGCTTTTCATTTCTACTATGCTGAATCTCTGCAATCTAATCCACTGATGACATATTCATGGATATTTTTAAAGGAAATAGGAATATCTTTCTCTAGCTCAATTTTTTCTATGTTATCAGTGCTTCCATTAGATATTTTTTTTTTACTTTATTATCTGGTTCTGAGTTAGCTATCTAGCAAATTTAGCATCCTAATAAATTAAGCTTGCAGTTCTTGAGATGTCTTCATTACTACTCTAACAGCTGTTGTGTTTGTATCTTTTTTTGACTTTGCATCAGCCAGCCTGTTTCTGAACCTTGTTCACTCTTTGTTATTATCAACTTTGAAGGCATAGATTATAACAAAAACTGAAAGACATCTTAGTATTAGAGCACTTCTCCTTAAATTATTATTTATTTATGCTTATTACTTATTTATGCTCTATTTTTCTATACAAGTATACAAGATTGCAGGACAGACACAGTGTCTGTGTTGTGTCTATGCTTATCAAACTTTTACTGATGGTGAATACGATTCATATTAAGGATTTTGAATGAACATATTGATAAAATGAATCATGAACACCATAATTTAATTGGATCATTTTCTGAGTAATTCCTAAACATCCCATTTTTTGTAATGGTAATGAATTTCAGATACTTGGGATGAAATCAAATATAATTTTTGAACCAGTCTTTCTATGCAATCTCAGATCTTCTATGTTGCTCAGGCTTGTTTGAACTGATAGTTCTGCTCCGTCTCTGGAAATCTAGAGTCACAAGTATGTTATACCATCATCACCTCATGTACAAGTTTCTAATCATCAAGACGCTTTTGCCCTTTTTAAATATCTCTCTCACTGGTAGTCAATATTCTCGATGAATAGTGCAGAACATTCTCACTAAAAATTAAAATAAAAACTAAGACAGGATTATACTTAACTTAGGTAGTGGTTTGGCAGGTTTGCAGTGGAGTCCTCCAACAAAATCAAAATTTGGTAAGGTAGGGCGTGGAAGTTCCAAATCCCAGTAGCTTCGAATAAGCCACATATCTGATTTTTGCATTTGCTTGTACAATGTAGTGGGATTCCCTATGTTGGAAAGAAGAAAAATTAGAAAACATAAATATTCATAAATTAGAGTTATATATGAATAACAAATAATGTACATTTTATGTATGGTTCAATTGTTTCTGTTAGAAACCCAGAATGAAAAGAGAATATTTCTGTAATATTTCATCAGTGTATTCTTAATCAGAAGCATTAATTACAATACTGTATAATAAAGCAAGCTTTCTTGTGTCTCTAATGCTGCCAATGCAATAGATGCAAATATCAACAAATTTTGTAGCTGGAAACTCAAGTACTCCTACGCTAACCATGAAATAAGTTTTCAAGAAATTCTGCATTTACTGAATTATAACATGATACAAATGAGCTGTGGTTGCCTTAATGTTATAGCTGCAATTCGTATTAATGCAACTTCTTATTGTGTATACTAGGAGTTTAATTGTGTATATCATTTACAAGCTTTTGCACACATCCTGAGAACATTTGAAGAAATTATAGACACAGATATTAGTACTTATGCATGATATTGCATCATTCTTTTTTTCTTTTTCCAGAGAAAAATACACTTAAAATATTAATTATATGTGCATATTTCTACAGATTTCAAACCTTTGTAATGGGTGGTTAATAAGGACCTATATCAGAGCATGTAGAATCATTAAAGTATCCAACTTAAATGTTTGAAACTTAAATAGAAAATGTTTTACAAAAGTGAACGCGTATTTTCGATGGTATGGACAAAATGGCAATTTTGGGCAAGGAAAATGATTTACTCATGAGAAACAAGTTTTCTCAGTGCTACTAATATTTTTGTTAGAAACTCCTTGTCTTCATTCAAAAACATATTGCAGAATGCCAATTTACTTTTAATTTTACATGAAAAGACAATAAACGTGGTATCCAATTGCAAAATTAAAGCCTGAAATCTTGCCTTTGGAATTGCATGAGCTCCAAGGATGATCTATCAGTAACGAGATGCGGGTTGTTCTATGATCTTATAATGTGAACGATTCTACTATATACAAGAGATAGATAGTTAATTCTTCCTATTGTAAATTCATTCAACCTGACTTTCAAAGGCACAACATATTGAGGACATGTCTCTGATAATTAAAAACATTACTTACCTAAAACTTCACTGTAAAGCTTGTTCCAGTTTTTCAGGTTAAATGTTTCAAACCAAAAGTCAAAATAAAGCATGCATATCATGTTTTTGACCCTTTCCATAAAAGTCATTTCACCACTTAAGCGTGACATCAGGACAGGTATATAAGAGGGAGGAAACGGAAGCCCTCCAGCACTTTTTTCCAGTTGGAATCCAGGGGAGAAGCGAAGACTGTACACAAAAGGTAATTTCAATAGCTCAGCAACAAGCTCACCACACGGAGCAACGGGATCGGCAAGGAGGACATCAAAGTTTGATTGCTGTAGTTTTGTCACAAGATTTTTATTTGAAACTACATCTTTACAAACATTCTCCCAATTAGCAGAATATTCCTTGAACATCTCCTCCATTACAGGAATATATGACAAACAGGTAGTTATTGAGCCAATATCCATCCACTTAGAAACGAATCGAGTATAAAATTGTTCCAGTTGATCTCTCCTGAGAGATGTAGGAAATGTTTCAAATTTAATTCCAGATGATGCATTAACACCAACAAAAATGAAGCTTGAAGGTATCAGAACTGTAACCTCATGTCCCCTCTGAATAAGTTCCTCTAGTATGATCTTCATATTCATCCAGTGGCTGTATTCCATTGGCCATACCAAAATATTTCCGCAGCTCCCAATGCTAAAATAACAAAAAAATTGTAGTAGTAACAGAGCTGAGATCCATTTCATGGACATCTTGTCAAATGCTGTATTGCTTTTCAAATTGTGTTATCTTTTGTTATTACTCATGTCTACATTCAAGCAGGAATTCTCCGAAGTGTTAATATTTAACTTTTACCGGTGAAAGTTCATATACTGAATGGACAGTGAGAGCATGGGGACTGCTGGCACAAGATTATTGGATGGTGTCACCTACCACCAGGTGGGCTTTCCTATTATCAACACCCAGAACTATGTTAAGCCAAGCAGTGCAATATTTTATTAGTCATACACTCTTTATATTTGTTCTTACACAAATCCAGCCACTCCAAAAACCCCTAACAATAAGTGCAAGGGAATTTGAATGGACATTTAGATAAAAATCTAAATATTATCTGTAAGAAAAATGATATAATTATTAATAAAAATTAAGTATGTTATGTGTTCAGTACACATAAATAATTTAAAATATGATCTCTAATTAGCTTTCAGAGGTTCAATTAAATATTGTCATTATCATGAATAGTTCATAACTAATGCTATTATCTATCTAATTCATACCTACACTATTATATATAATTTTTCTCGTAATGAGAATTAGTATTTCAATCATCATTGAATTCTTCAAAACATGCTGTAGGTAGAGAATATTCTATAGATTCTTTCACAAATGCACATTTAAATTTTTAGTCATATAAACATATATAAATGTTTAAATATAAACTGTCTTGATATATTCTCAATAATATATAAAATTTCAAAACAACAAATACTTGTACCCTAGAATATTTGTACTTAATTGCAACATTTGTTTATTTTTGTACCTAAAATTTTTAATCATTTTTCTTTTTTATTTCTTTTCTTTTAAATATAATTAAAAAAACAAATCAGAAGAAAGCAAATCTGAATTAAACAATGAAATGAATACAACACTTCACAACAAAACAAAAGGAAATCACCAGTGGTTACCATACTGTCTCTTTTTCTTCAAAATAGTTGTCCATACATTCATATACAACACAATCAAACAAAACAAAATACTACAAAGCCGATCAAAACACAAGAAAAAAGGACTTGTAGGGCTTCAAAACAATACAGTAGGAAATCAACAACTGCTAGCCTAATGTCTTTTGTTCTCTTCAAAATAGCTGTCCATACACTCATTCATAATGAAATCAAATTATAAAAACCACCCTAAAACCAAGCAAAACAAAAGAATGAGAGCATTAAAAGATTGCCAAATCAGATAACAGGAAATAAACAGTTTACTCTAATATCTGCTTTTCATCAAAATAGCTGTGCATACCATAAATGTAATAAAAATATCAAACAAAACAAAACAATTATACAAATTACATAATAGCATGAAAGCACTATAGATTTCAAAACAAGATTACAGGAAACCAATCATGATTAACACAATGCAACCCATTATGTTCAAAATAACTGCCTATACCATAAGACAAAGTAAATTCTAACAAAACAAGACAGAACAGAACCAAATCTAACAAAAGTTTGAAAACATACAAGAGCTCAGGACAACAGAATAAGAAATTAGCATTGGTTAGCACCTTCTCTTCTTATGTGTTTTTTCCTGTGTCAGTTTCACACTCTCTATTTTGTTTATGGACTCCACTAACTCCTTCAATTTTTTATGCTAGTGTTCACCAATATGAGTTCAAATTGTTTCACCCATGAATATGACATCCAGTTGCATCTATTTACCTACAAGAGCTTTGGGATTTTTCTACTTTATAGCTGAGGACCTTTCCATTATGTGTAAATACCACATATTTCTTACCCATTCTGTCTTTGATGTGAAAGATAATCTTGCTTTTCTCTGGCCTCCTCCTTCTTGTAACAATTGTTTTCTCTCCTTTAATTTTTCTGTCTATGAATTTCCTTTCAATTTAAATGTATTATTTCATACAGTATATTAATGGATCTTGTCTCTTGATTCTCCTTCCCTGTGTTTCTTTTTACTGCTGAACTGAGGCCTTCTACATTAATGGTTAAAGCCAACATACATTTGTTTGTTTTTTCCCTGCCATCCTCCTGCTGTTGGCCATCCACTTTTCATGTTCCTTCAGTTGTCCCTCCTGTATGGTGTTCCTTTTCTGCTACTGTTACTGGAAAAATGGTCATTTTTATCTCTCGATAGAATATCCTTCAGCACTCTCTGTAGAGTAGATTGGGTGGTCATGAATTCCTTCAGTTGTTCTTTGTCATGGAAGTATCTTATTTTATCATCAATTTTAAAGATAGTTCAAACAATAAATAATATGAAAGTGATAGGTGAAAAACACCTAGGAAGAGAAGGTGGTAACCAGTGTTAATTTCTTATTGTCTCACAGTGTGCTTAAATCAAATTTGGAAGGTATTTTCTTTCAGGATTTGAAACACATCACTCCAAATTTTTCTTCACTTGATGGTTTGTGTTGATGAGTCTGCCACGATTGTGACAGGTTTTCCTTTACAGGTGATCTGTTGCTTTTGTCTAACAGCTTTTAATATTCTGCTGATGTGCTCAAATTCTGGTACTTTGATTATTATATTTCTTGGTGTAGATTTACTTTGGTTATGGCTAGTTTGAGTTCTACATGCCTCACTTACCTGTGTGCTGGATACTTTTCCCATGTTTAGGAAGTTTTGTGCTATAACTTCTGTAAATAGCCTTCTAACTTCATTTGTGTTGACCCTTGATTCTTCAATGATGCCTATCACTCTTAAATTATTTCTCTTTGCATTATCTTGCAACCAATGGAATATTATTCCCTGGTTCCTTGTTATTTTTAAAAGATCTTTGCTTCCATGATTACTAGCTGGAATCCTGTCTTCAAGATGTGAAAATCTATCTTCAGTCTCTTTTAAGAGATTTTGCCAGCTTTTGATCAACTTTTTAATTTCCTGGGTATGTTTATGAATCCATTTCATGCACTGCAATTCTTTTTTTTATATTTTCACTCAAAGCTTTCATTATTTTCCTATGCTCATCTTTCTTGCTATGTCTTCTCTACATATGCTGAGCAATTCTTTTTTCATTTGTTGTTTACCTGAGACATTACTTCTGGTTAGATTGCTTTTAAAGACTTATGCAGTTGATCCTTTATTTTAGTTATTATCCTCTCAGAGGTTTCATGTGTGTGACTTCCGTATTCTTCCTTCATTGTATCTCCCAGACTTGCTCTGCAGGGGATACAGGTCTGAGACTGCCTTTTGCTCCTTCATTATAACATTCTCGTGGGTTCCTTCCAAAGAGCTGTTTGTGGATTCCCACAAACTTCACACTTTGGCTGCCCCTCCATGAAACAGGAGAATGAGGTAATTTTGTTTAACTGACACTAGGTGTACAGGGATATAGTAGGGCATTTTCTGGTTTTCTCCAGATCTGTGCAGTTACATTGGCTAGGTTTTCATGGTGATGTGGTTGCAGCTTTCAGCCTGTGTATAGACTGGGACTCTTGTAATTGTGACAAACAAACAGTGTTGTGTTTTTCTGACAGCTCCACCCAGTGGGATAATAAAAACCAGTAAGATACAACATGATAAAAATAATGGAGACAGAATAGCAACAGTTTGGTGGTACTTCAAAACAAGATGGTGTTAAATCAGCACTATCTATTATGCTGTTTTGTTTTCTTCAAAATAGCTGTTCATTTCATCACAGGCAATAATATCAAACAGCCCAGAATAAAGTCATTCCAATTAATGAGTGAAAACTTTACAAGGCTTCAGAGCCACATAATGGGGAATGATGATTACCACATACCTTTATATATTTGAATCATTTCTTACAATAGGAAAAATATTCAGTATTCATACATGTGAGTTTGATTTATTTCACTTATGAGTATGGTCTCAAGCTGTGCCCATTTATTGATAAATATCTCAATGTGATCCTTGTTAATAGCTGAGTAATACTCCATTGTATTAAAATACTACAACTTTTTTATCCATTTCTCAGTCAATGGACACATGGGTTGTTTCCAAGATCTACAAATTGTGCTTCTATAAACATATAACTGTGATATGATGCTTTCAGTTCTTCTGGGAATATGCCTAGAAGTGGGATAGCTGGAACAAATGGAAATTCCAATCACAAATTTTGGAGAAATCTCCAGACTGACTTCCAAAATGGTTGCACCAGTCCACACTCCAACCAAGAGCCCATGAGAGTTCCTTTATCACCACAGCCTCTCCAGCATTTGTTGTTCATGGTTTTCTTGATCCTGGCCATTCTTTCAGGAGTGAGATGGAATCTCAGTGTGGCTTCAATTTGCATTTCTCTAATGACTAATGATAATGAACATTTTTTCATGTATTTATTTGCAATTTGTATTTCTTCATCTGAGAAGTGTGTATTCATCTCAGATGCCCATTTTTGGATTGGATCTTTGAATATTTGAGGTCTGATTTTTTTTTAATTCTTTATATGTTTTAGACAGAATGCCTTTGTCTGAGGGAGAGTTCACTAATATTTTTTCCCAGTTTGTGGGTTTTCTTTTCACTATGCCGGTGATTTCTTTTGACATGCAGAAACATTTTAATAAGAGGTGGTCCCAGTTATTGATTCTGAGAAGTATTTCCCATGCTGTTTGAGTCCTGCTCATGAATTCTCTACCTACCCCTATATCTTCAAGGTTTCTACTCAATTTGTCTTCCAATAGATTTATTGTTTCTGTTTTAATATTCAGATCTTTGATCCATTTAGATTTTAATTTAGTACATGATGATAGGCATGGATCTAGTTTTAGTTTTCTGCAAATGGAGAGCCAGTTTTTACAACACCATTTATTAAAGAGACAGTCGTTCTTCAATGAACCTGTTTGGCTCCTTTATCAAAGATAAAGTGGTTGAGTGTGTTTGTAGTTGTGGTTGTATCTTCTAATCTATTCCATTGATCTTTGGCTCTGTTTTGATTCCAGTACCATGTTCATTTTACTATGGTTGCTTTGTAGTATAACTTAAAATCAGGGATTGTGATGCCTCCTGCCTTGCTTTTGTTGCTTAGAACTGTCTTTGCTATTCTAGGTCTCATCTAACTCCAGATAAATTTGAGGAGTGATTTATCTAGATCTATGAAGTATGTTGGTATTT